TTGAAAGCTACATACTACGCACAAGCCAAACATATGAAAAATTAGTTAAAGGCAAATTTGTTAGAATCTCAGGTTATGCAGTGATGTATTTCAACAATTTGCATAGAAAGAAGAAGTTTTAGAGAGAGAGTGAAGAGGTAGAGAGAGTGCTCAAAATCTCAAAGAGAGCCAAGATTGCTCTTCTGAATATATTCCATTCTTTTCTCAACATTTACATGACTACTAGGGAGAGAGGAGCTACAAGAGCCTATGAGCTCATCATACCATTCATTACAAGACCCTATGAGATCTTGACACATGCTCACATCTGAGCCTAGCACAATATTATCTAATCTCAGCCCTTGATCACTAACAGATTTATTTACACTTGCTAAAATAAGGAAAACATAGTTTAGACCTTAATCAGCTAACACTCCCTTCTAAGGTCTTAACTGAGATTACCCCAAGCTTGTCCCTCAAAGCACAGAATTTGTCTTTAGCAAGCGCTTTGGTGAAGATGTCTGCTAGTTGCTCCTCACTTTTGCAGTATTGCAGATCAATTGTTCCTTCCTGAACTGCATTTCTGATGAATCTCTGATGAAATGAAACTTCCTCTTGATATGTTTAGACCTTTGATGGAATGTCGGATTCTTTGACATTGCAATTGCTGATGTGTTATCACACATCAAAGGAGTTGGTTCGATCAGTTATTCACCAAAATCATGCAGCACAAATCTCAGCCATGTAGCTTGAGTGGTAGCTTCTGAGGCACTCATATACTCGGCTTCAGCAGTTGAGAGTGCAACACTCTGTTGCTTTACAAAAGCCCAAGAGAATGCACCACTGTCAAAGCTGAAAGCATACCCTAATGTGGACTTCATGTCATCTTCATCTCCACTCCAATCACTGTCACAGAATCCTATGAGTAGAGCTGCATTTCCTTTTTCATACTTAATTCCATAGTCAACAGTTCCTTGCACATATCTGAGGATCCTCTTTGCAATGCCAAGATGTTTGATGGAAGGACAGTGCATGTACCTGGCAAGTACACATGTTGAGTACAAGATATCAGGCCTTGTTGCAGTTAAGTACAGAAGGCTGCCAACAATTTTCCTATACAATTCCTCATATGCAGCTTCACTCCCATCACCTTTCCTTAGCTTATCCGTGGGAGGTAAGGAAATTAAGACAGATTTGCAGCTCTTCAAACCAAACTTGTCCAGTAAACTCAGTGCATACTTCTTCTGGTGAATAAAAATGCTCCCTTCTTGTTGGATTACTCCAATTCCAAGAAAATGATGCAACAAGCCTAAGTCTGACATCTCATACTTGTTCATCATATCACATTTGAAATCTTCAATCATTTCTAAACAACTTCCAGTATAAACTATGTCAACCACATATATAGAGACAATCAGAGTTCCCTGTCCATTCATATGTTTCACATATAAAGTGGCCTCACTTGGACTTTTTTCAAATCCACTATGCAGCAAATGAGTATCAATGTTGCTGTACCAAGCTCTGGGAGCTTGTTTTAGACCGTACAAGGCCTTTTTTAACTTATACACTTTGTGTTCTTCTCCCTTGACAATATACCCATCTGGTTGATCTGTATACATTTCATCTTCAAGGATCCCATTCAGAAAAGCAGACTTTACATCTAACTGGAACAGTTTCCACCCTTTCTGTGCTGCCAAAGCAATGAGTATCCTTATAGTGTCCAATCTAGCCACAGGTGCAAACGTCTCATTAAAATCAATCCCGGGCTTTTGAGTGTACCCTTTGGCAACTAATCTTGCCTTGTGTTTTTGTATAGTGCCATCCAGATTTAACTTGGTTTTGAAGATCCATTTTACCCCAACAATTGGTTTGTCACTTGGCTTATCAACCAATCTCCAAGTATCAATCATAGTAATCTCATCATTCATTGCTTTCTTCTAAGCTTCATCTTGAGAAGCTTCATTGTAGTTCTTAGGATCAATGACATTGAGTCTGCATCGAGCAAACACTTCATTCAGGTCTCTCCACTTCTTTGGTGTGTTGTCATAAGTTTCTGTGAGTTGAATTTCACTCTCCATATTCACAGCATTAGGAGCATCATTGTGTACACTGGGAACATACTCATTTCTTGTGTTTGGGCAAGATAAATCAGAAGAACCAATATTAGTTTCTTCACACACACCATTTTCTATCTCAGTTATGCTTATACCCTAATTAGCTTCTGAGAAAGGTACTGAGAAGTGCATAGTTTCCATATTCTCCCAATTAAGAGCAGCATCTTCATTAAAAATAACACTCCTTGAGACAATGATCTTGTTGTGTTTCAAATCATACACCCTGTAGCCCTTTTCTCTTGTCCCATATCCAACAAATACACCTTTTTGTCCAGTTTCATCCAGTTTCTGTCTTAACTGGGTTGGCACATGAGTGTAGCAAACAGAACCAAAGATTCTCAAGTGTTTTACCCCTGGTTTTCTACCACAGAATTCTTCAAAATGAGTCTTGTTCTCTAGTGCTTTGGTAGGACACCTATTAAGCAAGTAGACAGCAATGTGAACTGCTTCACCCCAGAACTTGAGTGGTAATTTTTTCTCATAGAGCATGGTTCTTGCTATCTCTACTATGGTACGATTCTTCCTCTTAGCAATACCATTTTGCTGGGGAGAATAAGCAACAGCGAGTTGTTTTTCAATACCAACATCTTCACAAAACTTTTCAAATTCTAGAGATAAGTACTCTCCTCCTCTGTCACTTCTGAGTTTCTTCAGTTTGTAACCAGTTTGTAATTCAGTCATGGCCTTGAACATTTTAAAATTTCTGAATACCTCAGATTTGCACTTCAGGAAATAGACCCAACACATTCTGGACTTGTCATCAATGAAGGTAAGAAAGTACCTGCTACCTCCAAGAGTCTCACTCATGGGTCCACACACATCTGTGTGTACAAGTTCTAAGGGCAACCTTGCTCTCCATTTTTGTTCTTTGTTAAAAGCCTTTCTGTGAGCCTTTCCAGTAGCACACCCTTCACACACCTAATTGCATTCCTTTAGATAGGGCAGACCATACACCATGCTCATTTCTTGCAGCATTCTCAGGCTTTCATAGTTTAAGTGCCCAAATCTTCTGTGCCATTTCCATGTGTTACCTTCAGTAGTAGCAATATTTGCTACAATATGATCCACTTGTTTAAACATTAGTGGAAATCATCTATTTCCCTTCATTTTCACAGTGGCTACATGATCTTGCAGTTCACGATCTCCAAATATGCAGGCCATGAAATCACCAAACAACAACCAATAGCCTTGTTCAACCATTTGTCCTACACTGAGAAGATTTTCATCCAAACCAAGTACAATCATTACTTCTGGTATGAACCGTGTGCCTCTTTTGGTCTCCACTATCAGTGTGCCTCTTTTGGTCTCCACTATCAGTGTGCCTTTGCTGAGTCAACCAAATCCCCTGTGCCCATTTTCACCTTACATCTTATACTTCTGTCAATGTTGATAAGCAATGATTCAGTATTGGTCATGTGGTTACTGCAACCACTGTCCAGATACCAAACACCACTATTTTCTTGCACAGAGGCCTTATGACAGGTGTAGAACATCATTGCATTATCTTGAACATGATTCAAATAATTTGCAGTATGGTTTTTCTTTGGCTGGTGACAATCTCTCACTACATGTCCAAATCTGTTGCAGTTATGACACTTAGGTTTTCCTTTGAACCAACACTCTCCATGGTGAGCCTTATCACAGATCTTGCACTTTTGTTTAACACCCTCATTGATCTCACCCTGTCTCTCAGGCTGTCGAGTATTGTTTTCCCACTTTCTAAACATAGACTTCCAATTCTTCTTTCCCTTGCTGTGATTTCCCTGTGTGAATGGCCTATTCTGTGCTTTAGGTACAAGACCCATAATGGAGAAAGCATGCTCCGTGCTTGTAATTTCATCCACATGTCTACTCAACCTAAGCTCATAACTCTTAAGGGATCCTACCACTTCTTGCACAGTCACAATATTCAAATCAGAAGTTCTTTCAATCACAACACAGATTGGATCACATTTACTAGACAAACTAATCAAAACCTTTTGCAATTCTCTTTGATGAGTGAGGTTCTCACCATAAGATTCATTTGATTAATTAATTCAAATAGTCTAGTAAGATAAACAGATAGAGATTCATTTTCCTTCATTCTCATATACTCAAATTCACGACGCAAACTTTGAAGTTTAACAGATCTTGCCTGTTTATCGCCGTGAAACTCCTCCTGTAGTAGATCCCAGGCACCCTTTGAGGTCTTTTGATTCACAATTCGAGGGAAGATCTCATTCGAGATAGCACTCTGAATAATGCCCAATGCCTTAGCATCTTTCATGAGCTGATCCTCCATGTGCGCGTCCAACTCGTCATCGTCTCATTCATCATCATCCGATGAGGATGAATCTTCCTTGTCTTTCTCCTTCTTTGTTTTTTTCTTTTCTCCTTTCTTCTTCGATTCTAGAATAGCAATCCCTTTGTCAACCAATTTCCAGATCCCATACGATTTGAAATGGTGACCATCCCCACTTTCCAGAACTCGAACTCCGTTCCATAAAAAACGGGAGCTCGTAAATCACCGCTTCCAGATCCAGCCATTTCAGCTTGAATCGGAATGAAATTGAGAGATTTCACGTTGGATTCTCTCACACAATTTCACAGAATTTGACGCCCAGTCCGAAATCGAACCTAGGCTCTTGATACCATGTTTAAATCTCAGGTTATGCAGTGATGTATTTCAGCAATTTACATAGAAAGAAGAAGTTTTAGAGAGAGAGTGAAGAGGTAGAGAGAGTGCTCAAAATCTCAGAGAGAGCCAAGATTGCTCTTCTGAATATATTCCATTCTTTTCTCAACATTTACATGACTACTAGGGAGAGAGGAGCTACGAGAGCCTATGAGCTCATCATACCATTCATTACAAGACCCTATGAGATCTTGACACATGCTCACATCTGAGCCTAGCACAATATTATCTAATCTCAGCCCTTGATAACTAACAGATTTATTTACACTTGCTAAAATAAGGAAAACATAGTTTAGACCTTAATCGGCTAACAAAATCGACAAAGAAATTAAATGATGCAAAATCAAATGAATTGTAACAAATCAAATCCCACAGACCGCTTGAGAGTTGAGAGGTGATCAGCACACCCTAAACCTACTGCCTTCCGCCATGCCCCCCTGGACCGTCAGATGCATAAATGGCTAAAACAGTTTGGATTGCGGTAAGTAATAAGGCAATTAAAACAGCTGAGGCAGACATAAAAGACCAAGGGGTATCAAAATACGTCAACATAAAACCTGCCCATTGCACGTTCCAAACATTATTGCAGTGCTCATTCACATCCTTGAATAATTGCAGCAAGTAACTCGCATTGATGTCGAAAGCCGCATCTTTGCCAAGATTTTTGAAGAAATGAGTGACCTCCTCGTCGGATCCAAGATAATTCTCGATAATGTTCCTGTCACAGAGGAAGCTTGTATCCGCAGGCGTGCCGTTGAGGCAGTTCATGAATACAGCATAAGTGGTTATGTGCTTGTGGCAATGGTTATAACATTGTTCAAATGCAACGAAATTCAGGAATAGATGGACACGGAGATCGTCCACTGTCATCTGCGGAACTTCTAGCACTCCGTTGCGGAATTTGATATCTAAGAAGCTGGCTGCCTCCCCTTTCTTAAACTTAATTCCCGCTTGATGAAGCTTTTTCACTGATCGAATCTTATCAACTGACTCGAAAGCATTTCCTCGAGGAGGATGAGGAATATCGTGGATATAAGTCTTGCGAATTAAATCGAGTAGATGTACTCCTCCTAGATGATAATATTTTTCCAAGTCTTCATCAGATCTTTGTAGCACTGCAAAATTGAAGAATTTTAAAGAAGCCTTGCTAAGGGATGAGTACTCATCACAGTTCGGTCTTGAAGGTTTCGATTGATTAAATAACATTTCAAGAACGAAGAAAGGAATTTGGTTTTCTAGCCGAAGAAGGTCTAGCATGAGCTTAGGCAGTAACCAATTCAAGTTAAAGATGGCGTCGTCCGGATCAACGCATGGATCTCTTTCTGATAAACGTTCAACTCTGAAGAAGATTTCGATAATGAAGAGACCGTCTACAACCATCATCTGAACGAGCTCGCTTTTGCTCAACTTGCGGGTCTCAGAATAGCACCCTCGTATGTCTTCCTCCTTAAAAGCTACAAGCTGCAAGTAATCAGCAAGTGTGGGGCCAGTTGGTGGTGTTCGAGCAAGTAAGTCGCGAAGATATCTCCATTTGTGTTGCTGCATCATCTCTAGATCTGGCTTGCCGTGGTGATATGGACCGATGGAGACTATATGCGGGTGGTAGGTCTGGCCGTTGACTTCGACCAACCATTGGGGTACTTTGAAGATGCAGCAAGATCTCATACCAGCTGATGGGCGAAGTAGCCAATCTGTTTTCTCGACTGACTTGAGACTTTCCTCCATTGACGACGTCAGCTGAGTTATATTAATGGCGTCCGGGGATGCCATTTGAATGACCACATCCCCGTCTCTACCTCCATTGTTTGCTGTTGATAAACTTGAGCTTGATGTTGATGGTGAGGTCATTGTTGCTATATGTATTTTTACTAAAACGAAAGAGAAGTAGTGCTTGTGAAGTTGTCGAATCGAAATTTTTTTTTAAAGTACGATTTTTCAAGTCTCGTAAAGAAGAACTTTACGAAAACGCAGAAAAGAAAGCCTCGAGAAGAACAGATGCAGTACTATTGCAGCTGGGGCAATAAAATATAGAGTAAGATTCTCTCTCATTCCCATTTTTTTTCTTCTATTTGAACAGTCACGATTAAATCATGTTAAAATAGAAAATGTGATAGAAGAAGATGGAAAGGAATAGAAAGAAAAAGAAAGAAAATAATTCTTAAAATATCGCAAACAGTTTGGTTTAATTTGAACGGTTGACAAACCGAAAACCGGCTCACAATAAAACTGGACTCCGGGTCTCAAAGACCCGTATAATTCACGGGTAAAACTTGAGGACTTTTGGGAAGAACTTGAATTTTAAATTTTTCAGTCAAAGCTCGACAGATCAGAGGTGTTTTAGACAGAAAAGCTAATAATTCGGTTAGGGGGTGATGCTGGTTCGATTGGATAGATATGTGTGGTGGCTGTACATCAGGGAAAAGGGAAGTGGAGCTGGCGGCAGGTCGGTTCTGAGATTTTGTAGGTCCGAGACGATGCTAAAATTCTAACTTTATATTAGAAAATTATTTGTTTTTACATGTAAGACTTCGATAAAATTATGCTTAAAACACTTCAAATTCAATAATTTAGAAATACGGAAAAATTTATTTATTTTGTAATGAGAGAAGGAAACCAAAAACCCCCGACCATATAAGTAGATAGATGATGAGTTTTGTTTACCTTCTATCTGAACTTTTACAGTGTTTTTATATAAATCATGATGTGTTTTTTCTCATTCACTAACCTTGTCAGTATGGGACTAAAAAATTAATGATGTTTTTTAGTCAATAATTGATATGTATAAGCAATGAATGAGCACTAAATTAAATATATTGATGACACGTCGTATGATTTGTAAATTTGATCTACGCATTACTCTTTGTTGAATGTTAGACTTGAATTGGAATGAATGTTTCAAAACTGCAACACACATAGCTACTAGCTATTAATTAAAAAGAAATTAAAAACCAAAAAAAAAAATCGTAAAAATTGAAAATAATAAACAAGCACATAATCTCTTGATGATTTTAAACAATAAAAATCATTGCTTCTGAAACCTCTTAATCTTTTAGCCAAATTTCGTAAATCCGAACTCTTAGGAAAGGAAATTCATAAAAGTTGGAAAGTGAAATAACATATAGTGTTTTGAACTCAAGATCTTCTTATTAATTTTAAACAAGATAAAGCACCACTTAAGGTTGAACTTTTTGATCATGTAAATTTTATAAATTTATAGTTTTATGAGAAAAAATTCGTAAAAATAAGAAAGTAAATGGACACACATGATATTTTTGAACCTAAGACCTCTTCATTAAATTCAAATACCAAAAGGCAATTCTAGTTAAATTTCTTTGTCAATAACCAAATTTAAAAAAATTATACTCTTATGAAATATAATAATTTTGGTGTCTCCTTTTTTTTTGGGTGCTGGACAGTTAACCAGCCCGCACTGGATCTGGCCTGGCCCGATTGGCTGAAGTGGGATGGAGGAGTCTCAGGCGGTGGCTCAACCGCAGCAGCAGCTGGTGGTGACTTCGCCAGTGATGGTGGTTGGCTTGGAGATGTCAGGGGTCATCCTTGTCCTCCTCTGCAAGCTCGACGCCCTCCTCTTCAAGTTTGAGACTTTTAGCTTCAGTGAATCTATGCATCCTAGATTTCTTATGCTGCTTGTATTTCACATGTAATGGAAAGGGTTCGAAGATGTTTTCTTTGTTTCCAAGCATCAAGTTTTGCAAAAATTAGCGGCCCATTTGCTTATTTTCTCCATTTTTCCTTCATTTAGATAGTGATTTTTTTTTAATACAGAAAGATTTGTATTTTGTAATGTGGGTTTTGAGTTTTGTTCCAAAATATGACCCCAACCTTTTTTTTTTTAAATAAAAATTTATTATTATTAAGAAGAGGGGAAAGATTCAAAACTATTACAATAATTTAGGAGAGAGGAAATTTCGAATTCGGAACGCATAGGTGGAAATCTAGTACTCTATCCACTAAAATATTGGACCACATACAAAAAATACCCTAGACAATCCGGCTAATCCCAACCCTTTATTCCATCTTTGTTTCAAATTTTATACTATATATAAAACTCAAATTGTGTATTATGGATCGTACTATAATTTTTTGTTTCGTGCCAAAAACCTAAAGTTTATTAGTTTTTTCATGTCTCTGTATGCCGGAAATTTTGATTGTGGTTTCTGCATGTATCGTGTAGTTAGTTCTTGCCGAGATGTATACTTCAAGGAAGAAGATTTCCAACGATAACAATGCTGAGCCGACTGAATTTGAAGAGTCGGTTGCTCAAGTAAGTGATGCAGCTGTTTACTGTGATTTTTAGTTACTTTGTTGTGGTAGTTTTGGGGTTTGATCATGTGTTCTCTATCAGTGCAGTCACTGTTTGATTTGGAAAACACAAATCAGGAGTTGAAGAGTGACACGAAGGATCTCTATAGTAATTCTAGCTAACTAACTGCCTTTTGGTGGTCGAACACGCTTGGTCCTCTTTTTTAGACATTGTCGTCGTATGGTTCCATTCCTTGTTAGTGAACATAACTGTAGATTGTTTACTGAATGACTGTTTTGATCGTTTATGTTCAGCGCAAGTCGCTGTTGGAGGTGATCAAGGAGATAGTATTATCCCATCTTACTAAAAAATTGCCCCCCACATGTAAGGATTTTTGTTTAAGCCCAATTTTTGAAACTTTGACTCAAGGTAATGGCAATTATGGTTATTGAATGCTAATTTTTGAAACCGTGTTTGATACCCTCATGAAGTTTGAGTTTGTACTTCCTGTCATTTAGTAATAATTGAAGCTAATATAAAGGCTTATATTCATCTTTAGTTACGCGTTGATGATATGATTTATATTGAATTTGAGCATTTTTCATGTTGCTGGCAATGTAAAATAAACTCACAATTTGTATGACCGGCATGATTTTATTGTAGGCCTGGTACATTGGTGATCGTACTTGTTGAGTTGCTGAAAAGAAAACGAAGAAAACGGAACTTAGAAGCAGATTTTCATCTTGAATTTGGTGAGGATGCTGAAATAGAGTATGAATTGATAAGAAATTCTCAATAACGTCTTTTTCTCGGATTAGCATGCATGCAAAGTATTTTTTTCTCAGCTTAATACTGTTGCTCCGTTACATAGTGCAATTGGAGGGAAATGCTATGATGCATATGGTATACTTTCTGCTTTAAGTCTTTTGTTTTCCTTTTCTCCCATGTTTTAATGCATACTTTCAGCTTAATGTATAAACCTTGCTTACCTAACTACACAACCAGTGACGGATTCAAGATTTCAAGATTGGGGGGTCCCAACATAAAAGCTCAAAAAAATATATATTAGACTAATTTGGTTCCATATCACAATTTTCTACTGAATTTGGTTTATTGAATAAATCAAGATTAATTTCAAAGGTAATAAAACCAACAAATTCTCCTCAGCAACATAACGCAATTAGTGACTCTACAAAGATAAAATTTGTTAATGTAACATATATCTTATTAATTGGGAGTTGGGACTAGAGTCTAGGATTAAAAAACTTATATGAATTTGGAAGAAATTAAATTAGGTAAAGGTGGTGGAACGGCAAATGGTGGTGGGAAATAGGGTAACTTGGGTTTAAAGTTGGAAGGTTGCGACGATTGGGGCTGGAAGTTCTTAAATATTATTTGGGGATACTGGAAAAGACCGGTGTTCTTGGGCTCTGTAGAGAAAACAAAGATACTTTAGTTTTTAAAATTTTTATAATGACTTGGCTAAAAAACGCTGTCGTTTCGGTTAGGTCTTTTAAAACAAAAATTAAAAACCTCTTCTTCTTCTTTTTTATAAGCATTGCTGCCTGCACATCTATGGAGGCAACAAGCCTCTCCACTGCACCTGCCCAAATTGTTAGAGGGTCCTGAAGGTCGATCACAAGTGTTTCTTCAAACTTCTGAAGGGTCCCAGGACCCCCGGGTCCCTATATGGATCCGCCAGTGTACACAACACCTTACCTGAAGTAATAGATATGACTTGGCTTTGCAATAGAAAGGTGATGTGGGAAATTTAGTGAATTCGGACGAGCATAATCGTTTTGTATCCATATGTTTATTAGCTTATGTCTATGCACATAACAGGTCATAATTGGTCATGCTCAAACCGCGATTGCAGCAGTAGTTTGTTGAATTATGACCCTTTATGTGCATAGAAAATGCTATCAAAATGCTAATATTTTCCTAGGGGTAATCATGTTAAGAGTACAATCTCACACAGCAGCAATGCATCACAACCACCACCAGATTAGATTCCTTCACTTGGTTGTTATGCTTGGAAATGTTTGTGATTAGTTATATACTTTATGCTGAGCTGGCACATATATTGGGATAGGATATTTATGTATAAATACCATGTGTATTATTCAGTTGAATTAATGAGAATCACAATTATATTTTTACTCTCTCTGTACAACTCTCTTTCTCTCTCTTAAATGAATTTCCCTCTCTGAGTTCTTAACTTCAACATGGTATCATCACCATCATCTAACCGACTCCGATCCAGCACTTCCTTCTTCTAGCAATTTTCTTGTTGTTCTTGCATTTTCTGATCTTCCAAACAGATCGCTACTTCTTTGATCTCTTCTTTTTCCCTCTCAATTTAGCAACTCTTGATATGTCGGCGGCAGTAACCTCCTCGAATTCTCCCTCTCCACCTCCTGCAAACCCTAATTCCCCAGCAAATCTTCCTCAGAGTGCCATCTCCAACCCTTCGATCATGACGATTGGCACGATTTCCATTGCAAATGTAGCTGGAATGGTTCCGACGAAACTCAATTGTCAGAACTACATCACTTGGCGCAGTCTCTTCATTCCTGTGCTGAAGTGCTTCAAGCTTCTTGGACTTGTCAATGGCGAGGATCTGTGTCAT